CAACCTATGAACACAAGCCTAAAAAAAACCAACTAAGCAAACAAACAAAACCCAATAACAAATGAAAGCCCTACAAAATCACACCCAGACCTCTCCTACAGCTGCACTACCTTTGGAAGGTGGGTGTAAAGTCTAATCAGAGGAGGGCTAGGGTAGAAAGCAAGATTTCTGAGACCAGGTCAGGAATTTGGGCTAGAGTCGTGCTAAACTCACCTGCACAGAAACAAAAGTGTAGTTTAATAAGGTGAACATTCTCTTGCATACAAGACCTGAGCTCTGATTGCTGCAGATGACCTTAAAATGAAAAATTTTGGTTAATAAATTGGCTCTTGATCCCATATCCAGTGATATTCTGTAGCAAAAGCCCTTCTAATTAATACACTGATAGTCTTTCTCAAGAGGCACTTTCCCCTTATAGCCTGAAATAACCTATTCAAATATGCAGCAACTCAGAGAATGACAATTCATGGAAGTGAAAGACTACCAGTTTTAGTTACCACAGTTTGTCTTTTAAAAAAGTAAGCTTTTTTTAAATAGGGGAAAACCAGCAAACATATTTGGTACATAATGTGAAAAAATTTATATACCTCAGACTCAGGCACATTACCTGGTGCCCTGAGACATATATCCATTAAATAAATTTGATTATATCCTTCCTCCTTTTGCCAGCAGCAATATCTCCAACAAGGCTAATTTAGCCTAGAAAAGGAACATTTTTATATTTTCTCCATTTCCAGTCCTCATTATCTTCTCTTTCTCTACAAAGTCTTGATAGACTCATAACTATTAAGAGCAGCTTAGGGAGTTACTTTCACCAAATTCAGCCTTATTTTGTTAACAGTTCCCCAGAACACATAAACTGCAAACACTCCAACTCTCATTTTTAGTGCAATACAATGGAGGATCTACAACTGATAACAAAACTCCAAAGGAAACCCATGCATGGTTATTCATTATTCAATGTGTTCAGAGCTGCCCAATTTAATATACCAACATTTCTCAGCTCAATATTTTGAACATTCCCATGAAAGTCACTTAGGCCCCACTGTGCCCATCTAGAAAAAAAGCAAAAGTGCTTCTCAACACTTTGCCTGTCTCAGCTAGGAAAATTCCACAAGGACACTCTGGCTCCTAGCCCACCCAGGTCAGAGTCAGAGGGTAGGTGCTGCATGCATGAGAAAGTGTACATAGCAACCAGCTTCTCAAGCTCAAAACACCCTTCACCCCAGGCTTTTATCAACCCAAACACCCATGCCCAGGCTTAAAATCCACTTAGCTTGCTTATACATGTTTATTTAAGTATGTACACAGTGTAACCAGCTTTCGGACAACAGTGTAACCTGAGAAAAAGCCCCACCCCTTAGCACTGCCTGACCAGCACATTTGTGTTACCTCCAGTCCTATCCCAAGGGATGACAAAGTCAAGGAGCACAGACTGCTCACCTCCCCACCAGAGCCACTACTGCTGTGGGGCAAGAGATTTTTCATTAATGCCTTTACCTTTACCCAAAGGCAGAGAGGAAACCACACCAAGCCCTGAAGCCTGTCTCCTAAGAAAAGCATGCCCTTTCCCTGGCTGTGTATATATGCCCTAGAACAGGTGATGGGATTTATGGGTAAGCTGGTGTGGAACAAGAACCACCTGCAGGCACCCCACAGGATGTGATTGGTTCCATTTGCCTTGCAAAACACCCATTAGCCTGGATCACTTGCACTTGTTCTAAATTGCCTCTACAGCCTTAAGTCAGTGTTTGAGATGCTCTCCAAAACTACTTCATGGCTCCTTGTTCTTTAAATTTGGGTTAGTGAAGGAGTGGACAAAGAAGCACCATGTTTTTCACACAATCACAAGTCTCTGTGTCTTTGCTGAGTTTTTTTCCCTCATGAGGCCTGGCTGCTGCTGGGTTGTGCCAACCCACAGCTCCCTGATGTGTGGAGCACCCCAGGACCAGGCTCATCTTCCTTGTCCTACCCCTCAGAGCATGGGGCATCCTTGCTCCAGGTGCTAGGAAGACTGACTCCAAAAGGATGTCTCCATCAGAAAACTGGAAACAATGGTGAGACCCACAATGGTTCACATACACTCCTCTGGAAACACTTGTACAGCGATAAAAACACACAGTGGAGTTTTTATTAATAAAACAACAGTGGATTAGCAGGAGAGATACCTGTACACCTCAAGACCAGCTTGCCATGGGGGGGATCTCCTGCCCTGTCCAAGTCCTTGGGACAAATCACAGGTTCTTAGAGGAGATTTCAGAGTCAAGATCACCCTTCCCATCCTCTCCTGGGGGTAGAGAGGAGCAAAGAGGTGTTATAACGTAAAGTATAATTGCTGGCTGAGCCCAGCCACTGGGCAGAAAGTGAAGCATAATGACGTGGAAGAAAACAACAGGGCCATGGATTGCAGCCAGGGTGCTGGCAGCTTCATCACCTGATCCAGTCTTCACCCAGTTACATTTTGATAGCAATAACAGGCATCAGGAAAGAATCTGATTGTGCAAAGCAATGTTGGTGTGAGATGATGGGACCAGCCATGCCCTGTGTATGCACACAGGCACTCACTGAAATGTAACTTCATCTCCTCCTGGCACCATACAAACCACCACCAACTTTTGCAAATCTCAGACAAACACAGCCTCTTCCCTCTGTCCCTCTATTCTTCCATCCTCAGGGTCAGAAGGACACATGCCATGGAGAGAGCTGCTGGTGACCATGCTGGCAACTGTGGGTCTCCAAATGAGCACCATCAAGGGTAGAGGGCTGTAGAAATACAAAACTCACACACCAGTTTACAGCAAATGCAGCCACAGCCCAGGCTGAGGCACCATGAAAACACTGGTGGGAGCAGGCACCAGGTTTTGCCTAACCTCACCCTCTTGAGACAGCTCCTCTGAGAACCAGATAAGAAGGATCTGCTAGATAATATCAAAATGCTAAAATGCAAAGCAGGATTGTGTAACCCAGCTAGTTCCATTCCTCTCTGCAGAAAATTCTGTTGGTACCAGGCACAAGAGATAGAAAATATGTTTCCCTGGAGCCTTTGCTTCTCAGCACATTTGGCTTTCCAGCACATTCCAACAAACCCAAAATTCATGGGAGAGTACCACTCACCACTGTGTCCTTTTTGGGGATGTTCTTCTCAAGGCAAGCACCACTGCTGGGCTCCATGCCTGGCCTCAGTGCATAACCAGCAGACTGGACTCTCCAGGACCAGCCTGGGCAGAGCTGCACCTCATCCCCCCAATAGCAGGCAGTGCCACCAGGACCATGTCGCTCAGAGACCTCCTGCCCTTACTGGTTATTCAGCTGTTGGGATGTAAAATGAATAAAAGGAGGAGAAATATGGAAAAGGAACCCTGCCCCCTGCCTGCCCCAAGTATGCTCGCTGTGCTACAGCCACTGCTTCTCACACATGGCAGGAGCAGCCCAATAGTTATCCAGGAGCATGGCTTAGCCATTAATTAATGTATTTTGGTTTATCTTTGATCACATCTCATTTCTGAGATATTTCTGAGATATATAGACCATTTTTGACATGGAGTTGTTGCTGCTCACCTTCTAAAGAAGATAAAAGTTGTATTTCTGGTTGGTGCAGACCAGGATTGCCTCCTGGCTGTAGTAGGGATTAGCTGCTCTACACCCATGGAAGCACCGGGATAAGAGGGTTTGGTTCTGAAATATATTTTAACTGTCTGTCTGCACCACAGGCTGGAGATCATTATGTCAGGGGAAATGTGTTAGATCAGCCTGAACGGTTTCTTACAGCTGGCTCTCAGGGAAAGTTTCCTTCAGCTGCCCAGCAGCACCATCTGGGCCAGTTCTACCTTTGGACTTGGCTCGCTGGCCATCCTCTCTGGCTGTGGGTGTCACACAGGGCACTCCGTGTCCCTTCCCGGCTGCTCGTGGGAGGAGCTGCAGCACCGGGAGCTGCAGGGATCACCAGAGGGAGCTGGCTGCAGCCGTCTGTGCCGGACGGTCCCAAACCCGCTCAGCTCCCACTCCCCACATGGTTCTGGAGCTACAGTGAGTGGGCCACGGACTGTTTTGGGATTCCAGCTGTTTGGGAGTGCTTGGTCTCCTCCCAGACCCAGTGGGTGTGTGAGAAGTGGCTGTTAGAGGGGACAGATTTTTAATGTTCCTCTCCCAGTGATCCTGTGGAGATTTGTGACCCCAGCAGAAAGAACCTGTCTGGCATCCTGGACTGGCCCCCTGGGGGAACCCATGGTCCTGACCTATCCCAGGAGAAGGGGCTCCACAGGCTCAGGTCTCTTCTCTACCCTCCTTCCCACAGCACTGACATCACAGGGAACTCCACCAGACAGAGACAAGGGTTTACTAAGAGTCATGTATTTACAGTCCAATATTAATTTGTGCTCTTGTTATTTATAGCTTATTTACAGTGAATCCTTATAGTCTCTGACAGTTGAATCCAGCAGATTTAGACAAAACTTTATAGCAGGCAGGCAAGGCAGTGTAGCCACAGTTTCTCCTCTTTTCCCTTTTCAGCCCTTCCAGGGGTTTCGGTGATTTTCCTTCCCTGTGGACCACAAAGGCCTGTTAATCAGTAATCATGGGAACAGTAGTGACTAATGTACAGTTCAAGTCCTAACAGTGTTGCAGGTGTTAAGAGAAAACTGTCCCACTCCTGACTTCACATACAGTGTTTCCAGGACTGAGGATTGGTTTCTCAGTACATATACCCAACTGGAGCCAGGCAGCACAAGCTCAGTCCTCTGGCACAGCTCTGTCCCTGTGACAGGCTTGTGTCACAGATGGGTTGTGTTGGCATGCAAATGTTGCTTGTTGTCCTGTCTCAGAGCTGAGCTGAGCACAGAGCAATGCTGCCTGGGGCTGCAGTGTGCCAGGCTGCCAGTGACATGGGAGGATTTTGCATTTCCTGCAGGTCACCACTGTTCCTCCTGGGAGGATGGCAGCATCAGGAAGAATGACCCTGGGGAAGGAGCCTCCAGCAGCCTCCACCACCAGTTGCCACTGAACTTGATCTTTTGCTGACAAGCAGCTGGATGCACAAACATAGGCATAACCCTCCTTCACCATATGAGGGGAGTCCTGACAGCACTGCCAGATGTGGCTGTGGGCTGGGTGAAGGCCTTCTGCAGACCACCTAGGATTGCCCTCCCGTCTTCACCACTGGGAAATGAGACTGTTCCAGGCAGTAGGCAGGGACTGATTGACAGGCGAAGTCAGCCTCTGACCTGTGAAGACAGCTTTCCTAGGACATCAGTCAATTCAAGATGAAGGTTTTTTCCCCTGGGATGTTTGCTCTGATCGTCCTCTCTTCTACAGGCTAATCTGGGTTTAGATGGAGTCTTCCACAGAATACTAACAGGGGTCAGCAAGTGGCTGGCTGTTCCCTTTTCAGATGGGTTTGCAGCCCAGCTGCCAGAGAAGCATCTTACAAAGGGACTTTTGGCTCGTCCCTGCAAATCCAGTTTCCAAGCCACGCCAAGGACAATGATGCTGTTCATGCCCCAGAACCTACTGCCCAGGACTGCCAGCCCTGGAAAAGCACCCCAGCAGCCCTGCACGAATCCCACCACCACTTCAGTCTGGGATCCCACTGCCACTGCAGCTGGGTTCTCTAGGACCACACATCCCCCAGTTTGTGCCTTTCCTGCTCAGGGGGCGATGGCAGACGGCTGCCTCCTCTGCTCCTGCCGCATCTTCAGAGCCAGCATCGCCCGGCGGTACAAGTCTGCAAGGAAGGGAAGCAGTCGAGCACTGCAGGACCCACCTGGAAACCTGTGCTGAGTGAGGGCTTCAAGGACAACCCAGCCTCCAGCACAGTGCACTCATTCCGCCTCATGGCAGAGGCAGCAGCATCTGCCTCCCCAACAGCCACCACCTTGCCCTGCAGCAGCACTTGCTTGTGCCCATGTCCCCACACCAAGCACCCCGTGGCCAAGTGTCCCTACAAAGCTCACACTCCCATTGCCAGCAGGTCAGACTCCTTGATGCTTTCAGCAAAATCTGTCCTGGGAAATACCAACCAAAGGTGCTTGAGACCCCCTCGTGCTGCTGCTCCACAGAAGATTCCTGTGACTTAATTTTATTCTTGATTTTCTTCTTCTTTTTCTTTTTCATGCCCTGCACTGGATAGAGAAATACAAAATTTCAGGTGCCACATCTGAGCAAGAATGCCTTTGTCACCAAACCACCTGAGGGGACTGTTGGTGGTGGGTCCTTCATTGTTTCCATGCACCATTCCTTACGGAGATGCTCTCTCTTCCCCTTCAGACTCCTGTGACCTCGCTCTGCACTCTGCTGGTCTGCAAGCAAAGCTAACGGGGGTGGTGGGGACCAGTGGTCCAGCATTCTGCTGTATTGCCAGGTTCCAAATCCTACCCATAGGGTGGCTCTGGGGGTCCTGACATGGTGGTGCTGGCAGTGCTGGCAGCCCCCCACAGCCCCCTCTCACCTGGGTGGAGTGTGGCCATCCTGGTGGGCACAGTCTCCTCCTGCCCGACCCTCTTGGGGAGCAGCAGCCCCCCAGTGGTCCCCGCATGGCTGTCACCCCTGTCTCCTGGTCCTTCTGGCTCCTCAGCTGGGCTCGGCATCGCCAAGCCCTTCTTCTTAACTTTCCCCTTCTTCTTCCTCCTCCTGGGGCCCTTAGTGCTCTCCTCCTGGGCAGGGTAAGGAGGATGAGAGGAAAGTGGAGCAGTCCCCCTTCCAACCCGCCCCACCCCTGGGGTCTCACTCTCTCACCAGGGGCAGGAGGCGGCAGACGGAGCGCAGGGGCCGGTTTTCCCCGTTCTTCACCGCGCCTTCTCGAGCATCCTCCCCTGGGGACGGCCGGTCCCTGGGGCGAGAGCACGCTGCGGTTGAGGTCGAGCGCTGTGGGGAGGAGGACGGGGACGGGGACACGCACCCACGGAGCCCCTCACGCACCTGCGGGCGGGCCGGCGGGCTCGGGCTGCCCTCGGCGCGGGCGATGCGGGTTCGGCGGGCGGCGGGGCCGGGGCGGCGGCGGCGCGGAGAAGCCAGCGCAGCCCCTGCAGGGTGGCACGGGCCGGGCCGGCGGAATGGCCCCGCTTGGCGACACAGGGCTCCTGCGGGCAGGGTCGGGGTCAGCCCGGCGAGCGGGGAGCGCAGCTCCGCGGGGAGCGGGAGCGGGGAGCGGGGCCAGCCCCGCACTCACGATGCGGCAGGGAGAGCGGTTCTCGTTGACCAGGCGCTCCAGGCACAGCCGCTCGATCACCTCGCAGGGCAGCAGCGCGGTCGCCGCGTCTTGCTTGTTGGCCAGCCTGGGGCATGGAGAGAGCGGAGCGCGGCCGTCACCCCGGCCTCTGGGCTCCTCGCTGCGCCACGGCGGGGGAGGCTGGGTGCTTTCTCCCAGTTTGGCTGAGATTAGGTGAGGAGTTGCCCCAGCCCCCTCCTGACACTGTAGCCCCCTCCTCAACTCCTCTCCAGGGATGCTCCCATCTCCCAGGTGCCACTGTGGTCCTCATGTCCCAGCTCCCCTCGACAGCTCCCTGGACGCCACGCCCCCTCAGCAGCCCGTGCACTCAACACATCAACAGGTTCCCACTCCCCCCCCCACCCCAAACCCCGAAGGTCACATCCCGCTGACCAGCCTTACAGTAGGAGGGGCTTCCCGGAGATGTCGGGATGGCTCAGGACGCGATTCAGGACCTTGCGGGCCTCTTCCATCCGCTCCAGGTCACTGGAGTCCAGGACGAAGAGGAGCCCGTGGGCCTCGCTGTAGTGGCTGCGCCAGGAACTGCGGGAGCGCTGCCCCCCGGGCAGATCCACCAGCGTCACCTCGAACCTGTCCACCTGCAGGCGGGTCTGACCGGGCTGTGCGTCGGGCAGCACCTCCCCGGACAGCGCTGTGTGTGGGGAGAGGGTAGGGAGTTGGCAGAGGAGCCCAGGAGCTTCCCTGCAGCATGTGCCTCCTCCTCCCGCAGCCACATCCCTGCTCCCACTTCCAGAGTTGCCCGGGCCACAGCTGGTGCTTTGCCCACTTCCCCAGAACAGTAGATGTACTTTAGGGGTCTTGGACACTTGGTTACAAAGGACGATAAAGCACTAAAGGCCAGCTTTGGTGCTGCTGCTCACCTTTCTCTATGTCCGTGATGACAGAGGTTTTCCCTGCATTGTCCAGCCCCACGACAAGGAGGGTCACCTTTCTGCAGAGTGACAACAGCAGTTGAGCATCCCAGAGGAAGGCTGTGCTCTCTGGGGAGTGATGACCACTGCAGGCCACCAGGTTTCCAGACAAGGGACCCTGCCCACAGTAGCTGCACTTCAGCCAGGAGAGGTGCAGGACAGTGACACAGGCTCTGGCTGAGCTGGGGGCAAGGGCAGGGATGGGCTCTGGTGCCTGGGAGAAGGTGAGGGCAGGCACAAGTACCTGGAGCCACCCCAACACCGTGGGACAGCCACTCTGCAGAGCCTTCAAGGTGCTTCCTATGGCAAGGATTTATTTTCAAATCATATAGGATCAAGCAATAGTTTGCACAGGCCAACATGATTCTTCCGTATGTGCAGTCAATGATTACTCCTTCCTTGGAAATAAGTTATGAGTATACACAGCAAGGGAGAGGTAGCAAGGACATTTTTACAAGCTTCTGCCTGGACTCAGGTGATTTCTGCTGTTGCCAAACAGTCCTATTTGGTCTCCAGCAATGTGCTCCACCAGAGTACACAGAGAAAGTCTTCCCCGTGGTTGACAAGCCACAGTAGTCATTTGCAGTATAGTTTTCTCCCTTGAACATACAGACCAGGCTGTGTGGGTGGCATGGCTTCACCTCCAGCATTTCAGCAGGTCAGGTCTCCTCTCTTGAGGGAGAGGACCATAAACCCCCTTGCAGTGCTGTCCCAGGGTAATTAACCTGGGTCTCCCGACACACACAGACACAGCAGTGTTTTAGAGCACCTCCTCATCTTTCTTGGGGAGCTGCTGACTTTGCACAGGGGAAATCCTGCTGGGAGCATTCCCTGCATGTGCACCCCTGCCCAGCCTGCTCCCCTGACTGCCCAGCTCCTGCATGCTCAGGGGACAGGGAGGACACACCTGTGCCTTGCTCAGCAGTTTGGGAACAGTTCCTGCAATGAGCACCACTCTCACCCTGTTACCACACTGCTGCCCTCACCACTGATAAACACACAGGAAAATGTTGTGCCCCTTGGGAGTCCCGAGGAGCAGGCACAGTGACCTACCTGATGGGCTCCTGTATGGCCTGCAGCCACGACCAGCAGTGGGAGAAGAGGTGGAACATTGTCTGCAACCCCGTGTGGAGGGATGGCCTCTCTTCGGCATCTACGCAGTGAGCAGCCCAGCGCGTCCCTGTGCTTCGTCCTCCTGCCTGTGCTCTCTCCCCATGGTTGGGAGCATCTCATCCCGGGATGCCCTGTCCCACGGCCCAGCACTGCTGCCTCCAGCCTGGTGCGCACAAGCCAAACCTGGGGATAAAATCCGTCCCTCTGGGCAATGCCCCATGGGCACAGACCTGCCAGAGGGACCCTGCCCTGACAGCCCCTTGCATCACAGGGGTGCCAGTCAGCCTCTCACCTGCTCGTCCCCACTGTGCAACCCCTGCTCACATCCCCTTTGCGTAGCAGCTGCTTAAATCTAATCTGGATTTAAATTGCTTACTCCCGCAGGCCCTTTAATCCTGGTGGGTCGGCCCAGGCCAGTGGCTGCTGGGACATTGTGTGTCGTGGGGCTGCCTGATGCACAGGGCACTGCATCACTCACCCCACTGCACCCCTGTGGTGCTGGGCAGCCTCGTGCCTCCATGGCTGGTGTAAATGGCTTGTGGTGGCCTGATGTGGGGTTTCCAGCTGAATTAATTCCTCTTCTAAGGAACAGTGTCCCTGGCTCCTTGCTGCCTAATCCTCGTGTGGATTCTCTGCAGCCCCTGCAAGGATCATCTGCTTCACAGTGTGCGCAGAGCCAGCTGCCCTCCCAGGGCCCACTCTGAGCCGGGCTGGGGGACATCACTGCTCACTGCTTGTATTTCATGCCCTAATGAGGCATGAATGCCCCCTGAGTGGCAGCTGGTCCTGTGCCGCTTGGGACAGAAGCACTGGCCACCCCCATCAAGACCCTGGCTGGGAGCAGGGGGGTGGTGGAGACCCTCAGATAACAGCAGAGGAAAAAAGACCCAGCTCCTTGATCTGTAACTGAAGCTCTTATCTTGCTTCTCAGGTTTCCTGGTGCTTTCTCCAGCAGGAGCTGCCGTCTCTGGCATTCTGCCACTGTTGCGTGTGGAAGAGAAGAAATCACACAGGGAATTCTGAGCTGCAGGAGCTCTGGATGGGGAAGTGGGGTCCAGAGGGACAAGGAGAGCCTTCAAAAGCCGTACTGTGGAGCAAACAGGAAGGCCACTGGCTCACAGTGGTCCATGCTAAACCACCCAGTGCCAATAGCACTACCTTGCACCTCTCTCCAGCACCACATGCTGTTGGGAAGCTCAGCACCTGCCCTGGGCAAGGGAGGTGCCCCAGAGCAGCGCCCCAGGCAGAGAGCCATGTGTGGTTAATGGTTGATGGAGGAAGTTTCTGTTCCGACATCACTGCCATATTTGGGGTGACTGGTCACGCCTGTGCTACTGATGGCGTGGCAGTGGCTGCACCTCAGCTACCCTAGCCTGGCCCAGGGACAGAACCCTATCCCCAGCCTGATGGCCTTTCCTGGTTGCTTCTGTGCCTGTGCCAGCAACTGCTGGGACCAGTGTCAGAGCCAGCTTTGCAAGCAGCATGGGGATGGGATGCTTTTTGCAGAATTAGCTGTACCAGGTCTGAAATTACTTGCTGGAAGTGACAGTGCCTGCCTCTGAGCTTAGAGATGGCACTGCTAGTGGACATCCTGGCAGGGGATGGGAGGAGGCATGACCACAGCTGCTATAAATAGAGAAGTGCCATGTGTCAGGCAGTCCTGGAGGCAGTGGCTTGGGTTCCTGAAGGGTAGCAAGATCTCATCTCCCTCTGGTACCAATGGACTTCCAGAGATCTCTGAGCACTTGGGGTACTACTGTTTTTAACGTAAGTGTTAAAAATCCCTGGCCAAACCAGCGCCAGGGACAGGGAAAACCCCTGTGAGCCTGAGGAAGCTCCAGTTCACTCCTCCCAGTGCACACACACTGGGATCAACAGCCAAGAAAAACCTCAAAATCCACCCCAAATCTGGTGAAACCCATACTCGGCTCTGGAGAGGTGGTGCAAGGGCCAAGCCTGCATCGATGGGCGTTCTGCTGTGCCTGGGCTCAGGTTACAAGTGAGTGACTGGCCCTTCGCCCACACAGATGACCAGACAGGGTGCAACTGAAGACCCTATGCCAGGGCCATGGGGACCCCCAAGGCAACACCAGTGGGGACCCGCAGGAGCCATTCTCGTTTCCTTGGTGACTGTTGCCAGGTGAGAAACTCTAAGGCAGAATTTATTATCTTGGTGGATAAATGAAGATGTTCCTCACCAGAGCTATATCCAGACTGTGCCCCGGCACGGTGCTGGGCTGGACACTCTGGTGACAGCAGGAGCCCCTGAGGGGAGGCTGTGCCTGAGTCGCTGGGGCTGCCTGGCCCCTGGCATCGCTCCCCAGAAGGTGGCACGTGCTTTGGGGCTATTTCTGCCTGCTGGAGTGTCGCAGGAGAGGGGATGAGCCGAAACCACCAGGACCGCGGAGGAGCGCAGATGGACGCGGGCTGGCGAGCTGCCCTACCTTGGCTTCCCTAGACCCGGTGAGTATGTGCCGGCATCGGGCACTCTGGGAACCCTGCCTGACACCCCTGGGGCAAAAAGCAGAGTGGGGGGGACAGCTGGGAAGCTTTCATATGGAGAATGATGGTTTGCAAGGGAACACGATGGGTGCTGCAGAACTATAGGGGCTTCTAGGGGCTGACTGCAGCCTGTACTGAGAGTCTTGAGCTGGGGTGACACCAGAGCCAAGGTGATGACAAAGATCAAAAAGTCACAGCTGAAATATTAGCAAGCTGTCCTGCTTTGCTTGGAACTGCATCAACTCCATCCAAAAAGGGTTCTGTGGGGGGCAAGGTCACTCATAAGCTTTGAGGAGAGACTCATCTTTCTATTTAATGCACTCTATGACAGCACGCTGGGGTGGTAGATATTCAAATAGTCGCATTGTCCCTTTAAATCCCAGCACGGCAGTGGTGGCTAACGATAACCCCGGATCATACCATCTCCTAAATCCCAAGAGCTAATTACAGGCAAACGCCCCACAGTCAGGCTGGGAACGCAAGATAATTACAGCCTGTGACATGGAGACCTGTTGGTGAGGAATTGGGGCACCAGGCAGGTTTACTGGCATGGTACGGAGCAGCATGGATGGTTTACATTCCACCGCCAGCAACCGTTCCACAAGCTATTTTGGGTAAGGGAGATTGTTTTTCCGGAGCATTCTTTGCTCCCCCACACTGATACCATCACCCTGTGTCAGATGCAGAAGCAAGCAGGAAATGTGCAGGGAGCCGTTTGCTCTTCACCCAATTCCTGACAGGGTGCTTCCCAGCCAAAGCACACACAAATTCCTGGGAGAGGTTTCGATTTGAGCACTCTCTTTGCCCTGCTCTCTGCTGCAAGACAAGCTGCCAGCTTGCTCCTGTGCCACACACACAGCTCTAGGAAGCCTCTGTGATGGCTACAAGCCCTATCCAGGCTCCTACAATGCTTTTGCTGAGAGCATTACAGTACTCCTGCTGCTTTCCTGCACGGGGAATAGGAGAGTGTAAACCACTCCTCCTGCCTGCCAGGATGCCTGGGCAGGCACAGGAGCACCCTGGCTGGGTTATAACACTGCCTGGGCTGTATACTCTTACACCAGGGGCGACCTGGGGGGAAGCAGTTAATTAAAGGTATTTTTAACCCTTCCAGCCTGGTTTAGTGTTACAGCATTACCTGCTGCCTGAGCTGGGACTGTAGCCAAGGAGGCATGACTTCAAAATGCGTATTTATTGCAAAGACCTATAAATGCACCCAAAGGTAACTCTGCTTTCTTGTTGAAGAATTGAAGCTGTGAGGCAGCAGTGACATGGCCCATGCTCTGCAGGCAGGCATCCTGGCTCTGGCAGCACTGAGCCCAGTGTCTGGATCCCAGTGGGCTCAGCACAGCTTCCAGTGAGATTTAGAGAGATGAGGTCCTCAGCACAAGCATCTGTTTTTCTCCCAGGAGGATCAAGGACTGAGGCTGGGTGAGGAACTGGAGCGGTGAAAGCAGTCACTTGATGAAGCAAATGGAATAAATATTTCCCCAGCCAGAAACTATTCCACAGACTGCTGGGGCAGGAAAAATTACAGCTGGGTTACTGAGAAAGCAATGCAAAATCCAAACAGTTTAGCCTGTGGAAATCAGTCATTTGCAAAGCTATTTCCAAACTAAGTAAAAAATTCCTAGCTCATGGATTCCTCGGAATCTCCCAGCCCTGCTAGTCACGGTGGAGTGGTTGCACGGAGGGGGACACAACTGTGTCCCCTGCTCACGGCGTGCCAAGTGGGGGGCACTTTTTGATTTCCAGCACACTGGGGGTTTTAGAGGTCAACACAGCCCCACCATCACTCCATGTGGCACCAGCTGAATGTTTAATCCCCTGCACAGATCATGTTCCTGAGGTGGTTTCAGATCTGAATCAGGGAAGCTTGGCCATCCCCACACCCTGAGCAGCTGCCTCCACCTCTGTGTGCAGGGCTATATTTGGAAAGGCAGCAGTGTGCTCTTGGCACGTCCCAACAGCACCCTGGGAGTGATGTCTGCTCCAGGTCCTAGTGCAGTGAGAAGAGGAGAGGAGAGGAAAGCTTGGGGAGCATGCTGGCAGCTCTCCCTACCTGGGCTCTTTAAGAGCTCTGGCTCAGAGCTCCCTGTCTTTTCCAAACAGCTTTTCTCTTCTCCTTTTACAGGAGCTGAGCCACCAGGCAGGCATGTTTAAAGCAGACATGGTTATTTTGAGAGTGAGAGCCAGCGAAGGAGCCTGCTCCCACCCTACATCCAGCCCGGGCTCCCACACACAAATGCCCTGGCACATCCACAGGCAGCCAAGGGGCTGGAAAAGCTGCACAGCAAACCCTGCGTTTCCCATGGAGGGTGGCCACCACAGCCACTGCCCTTTGTGCAAAGTGTGTTGTGTGAACACTGGGATTAAAAAAAATAATAAAGGCTGGGATTAAGATATTAATGAAGCTGGGAAGCTCTCCAGGGTAGGGCAGACATTTGTGGAGACAGGACAATTGACATCCACACATGGTGGTGGGACTCTGACTGGT